TCTATGATCAGACAACACCAACACAGCTTTGGGAATCAGAGGCCACAACAGATGTGGGTTGAAAAGACAAATCAACACAGCTATGTTGCATACACTGCTGATGCTCTCAAATCTGAGGAAGGAGCATGGTATTTTGATAGTGGATGCTCCCGACACATGACTGGAAGATGTCAAAATATGCAAATCCATGAAAACATTTCTGCCGGAAAGGTCACGTTTGGAGGAGGAGCACGTGGTAAGATCAGAGGCAAAGGAGACACATCGGGACCAGATCAACCGCAACTGACTGATGTATACCTGGTGGAAGGTCTCAAAACCAATCTCATCAGTGTCAGTCAGCTATGTGATGAGGAGATGTCAGTTACTTTCACTAGTGCTGAGTGTCAAGCTTGTGATCAACAAGGGGTGATAAAACTGCGAGGGAAACGCTCAGGCAACAACTGCTACATGTGGAAACCAGCCGAAGTGTGCATGACTGCTGCTAAAGCAAGTGATCTTGAGATTTGGTATCAGAAACTTGGACATATGAATGTTCGAACTATGATCAAGCTCAGTAATCAAGAAGTGATCAGAGGAATGCCCAAGCTGAAACCGTAACAGGACTTTGTCTGTGGCCCATGTGCTAAAGGAAAGCAGGTTAAAGTTCATCACAAGAGTATACAGGAAACACAGTCCAGGCAACCACTTGATCTGATTCACATGGATCTCATGGGGCCTGTTCAAACAGAGAGTATTGCTGGAAAATATACATATATGTTCTTGTTGATGACTTCACCAGATATACATGGGTCAGATTTCTGAGAGAAAAGTCTGAGACGGTCAGTAGCTTCAAGATTTTGGCTTTGCAACTGATGAACGAGAGAAAAACTGGCATCAAGAAGATTCGCAGTGACCATGGAAGAGAATTTCAGAATGCTGTTTTTGATCAGTTCTGTGTGGAACAGGGAATTGTTCATCAGTACTCTGCCCCGCGTACTCCACAGCAGAATGGTGTGGTCGAAAGAAAGAACAGAACTCTCCAAAAAATGGCTAGGGCAATGCTCATTGGAAATCAGGTTGCTAAGCACTTCTGGGCTGATGCAATCAACACCGCATGCTATGTGATCAATTGGGTGTATGTCAGAAAAGGTACTAACAAAACACCTTATAAATTATGGAAGGGCAAAACACCAACAATAAAGTACTTCCATGTTTTCGGGTGCACGTGTTACATTCTGAATGAGAATGATCAACTGGGAAAATTTGACTCCAGGAATGATGATGGAATCTTTTTGGGTTATTCAGGGACCAGCACAGCATTCAGAGTATACAACAAACATGAAAGGCAGGTTCAGGAAACAGTTAATGTTGTGTTTGATGATGCTTCAGGAATAACTGTCAGATTACAGTTGCTTAACTTGTCAGACAAGGCGCATATACAGTTGGGGGAAGGCTCTCCACCCTTGAGCAATACACAAGAAGGGTCTAAGCAACCGTCAGATTCAGAGTCAGATGAAGAAGAACTGATGCCCCATCCGAATCCCCAGAATCTGCTGGATGGGCAATCTCAAAATTCTGTTGAGCACAGACAAACGACTCAAGTTGGAAGCCTAATCGGTCCCATCCACAAATATCATAAAAAATCTGATGTGATTGGGGATGTCTCTGGCAAGCGAATGACACGTGAAAAGAAGTACGACTACAAGCAAATGGCTAAAGGCAACTACTCGATTATTGGCTTTGCATGTTTTGTTGCCAGCTTTGAACCAAAGGACCACAGAGCAGCTATCTCCGATGAGTTCTGGATAATGGCAATGCAAGAAGAACTTGAACAATTTGAACGCAGTCGAGTATGAACTCTTGTGCCCCGACCACCTGCCAGCAATGTGGTGGGAACAAAATGGATTTTCATGAATAAAACTGATGAAAATGGAACAGTAGTGCGGAACAAGGCACGACTGGTGGCACAGGGGTATTCTCAAATTGAGGGAGTCGATTTTAAAGAAACCTTTGCACTGGTTGCTCGACTTGAGTCTATCAAACTTCTGATTGGAATCGCCTGTCTTCTCGGATTCAAACTTCATCAAATGGATGTCAAGAGTGCCTTTCTCAATGGACTCCTTCAAGAAGAAGTCTATGTTGAACAACCCAAGGGGTTTGAGGATCCCAGTCACCCGGATTATGTATACAAACTGCGTAAAGCACTGTATGGACTCAAACAGGCTCCCAGAGCATGGTATGAACGTCTCACCACCTTCCTCCTATCACGTGGCTTTCAACGGGGTAGTGTAGACAAGACGCTGTTCTTTCGTGATGATGCTCATGGCTTTCTAGTCGTTCAGATATATGTGGACGACATAGTTTTTGGTAGTCCACACCCTGCACTTGTGGATACATTTGTGACTATGATGACATGCGAATTCGAGATGAGCATGGTCGGCGAACTGTTTTACTTTCTGGGGCTTCAAGTGAAACAGTCCGAGGAGGGTATCACCATCTCACAAAGTACATATGCTCGAAATCTAGTCACTCGGTTCGGGATGCAAACGTGCAAACCAGCTAAGACACCAATGGGAATTGACACGAAGCTGTCTCGAGATGAGCACAGCGAACTGGTTGACCCAAGAGTATACCGAGGTATGATTGGCAGTCTGCTATACCTCACGGCTAGTCGTCCAGATATATGCCTAGCTGTTGGAATCTGTGCACGCTATCAGGCAACACCCAGAGCATCTCATTTGACAGCAGTGAAACGCATCATCAGATATGTGATGGGTACAACAGAGTTGGGGCTTCACTACTCAAGAGATACAAATAAGAATCTAGGCGGGTATTGTGATGCAGACTGGACTAGGTGTCTTGACGACAGACGAAGTACGAGTGGAGGATGTTTTTTCCTTGGCAACAACCTAATATCCTGGCATAGCAAGAAACAGAACAGCGTGTCGTTATCGACTGCTGAAGCTGAATACATTGCGCTTGGAAGCTGTTGCACACAACTTTTATGGATGAGACAGATGCTTGCTGACTATGGTATGACCTCTGAATCTATGCTAATTCTTTGTGACAATGAGAGTGCTATAAACATTGCTAAAACCCTGTTCAGCATTCACGAACTAAACACATAGACATTAGGCATCATTTCATTCGTGAACTTGTAGAAGGAAAACTCATAGAAATTGGACATGTGAATACGGATAATCAATTGGCTGACCTGTTTACCAAACCACTGGACTATAACAGATTTACGAATCTAAGAAAGTCCATTGGTGTGTGTCAAATCTAACTGTTGTGTGTTTTTGAGTTGGTCTGGGGCAGGAACAGGCACATGAACATGGTGTAAAAACGTGAAAGTTCACGGACCTCAGAGGAAGAGGGCTGCCTGTTGTGTTATCCCGAGATTTACTCAGCACTGTGAGTCACAGATGAGTGTTAAGCACAGAGAAACAGAAGAGATACTCTGATACGTAAAGGCAGTCTGAGCAGCACAGAAAAAAAAAAAAACAAAAAAACAAAAAAAAATTTAGCTGCTCAGATAGAGACTATACAAAGTTTGGTTGCCATTGTATAGCTGAGTCTGATGATCTTGACCTTTGACGGATCAAATGATGACTCAAAAGAAGTAAACGATGACTCATAACCAGACTTCTGTTGAATGACAACCGTCTGTGCTCCAAGATGAAAGCTGAGAAATGATGGGAGAAATACACGATGGTGTGAAAACTAGTCTCTGAGGACGAAGAACAGAGTTTTATCTGAGTATGTTTCCCATGTTTCTGTCGCGTGTTCTGGACCAACTTGTGGAAGTCCGTATATGTACACATAACAGACAAACGATGAATGTCACATGTATCTGTCTCTCATGCTCTAATATCTATTTGTGGGTTCCTCTATGCACGGGTATCTGATTGCAAGTGTTTGTGGAGTACATGTGTGGGTGCCGTGGTGGTATGGTGTGCATGTGTTACTGGAATTAACTGAGATCATGTCTTATTTGTCTAACAAAGGGGTCAAGTTTGTGTGCACAGTATATGGGCTAAACCCAACAGGTCTAAGCCCATTTCCGAAAAGTTGCAACGCTTTGGAAGGAATATATTAGGTTTTTGAGAGAGGGAAGACAAACAGTTCAGAGTTCCATCGAAAAGAAAAAAAAAGGGTTCCTTTTTCACTGTTCCCTCTCTCTCACGAAGTCGACGAAGATGAATCTCTTCCTCTCTAGTCTGTCTCATCTTGTCGGCACCAGTTCAGTCGATCCAGAATCCAATCTGCCTGGATCTTCATCGTCTCAGCCGGATTTCACAACCCCAACCGCTGAACACGTCACACCTGCTGCCTCGAAGCCCAAACCAGTGCATGCGGAAGACAATCCACAGGCCGTGGAAGTTTACAAAGGAGAAGCAACTGCGACAAAGACACCAAAAGAACCGATCATCCAACTAGTCGAAACAGAGCAACCAAGTGTCGAGGAATTTCAACCGGCTGGATCTGACAATCAGTCTACTGGCACCAAACGGTCAACTGTGGTCAAAGGGTCTACAGCAACATCCCGCCGCTATGTCACTAGGAAGCGCGCGGCCCAGTTCTCGGTACTGCCTTCATCGTCTACACGGTCTGAGCCGAGCCTTAAAAAGAATCGACCCTCTAAAGGAAAAAGCGTGCTGGTATTTGACGATGCTCGTTTCAAATCAGCAGAGGCACAGGAAAGGTATGTGTCTTTTGCATCGCGTCCAATTCTAGAGGAACGGCTGATTGACTTTGCTGAGGAACATAAGGAAATTGAGTCAATGATTAGTAATGCTGGTCTAGGAAGTACTCTGAGTCGTGTGGAAGCGTATGCTAAAGATGTGGTCCTTGAATTCTACACTCATCTCTCGCTTAGAAAACCAATTGAGGATGCAGTTGCTGTGTGGGTTCGCGGTCACGAGTATGAATTTTCTGTTGATCGAATAAATGAGTTGTTTGGGCTGAAAGCACTTGCTGAGCAGGCTAAGGTTGCAGAGGTTAAGGAATTGAGGTTGCAGAGGTTAAGGAATTGACTGATGAAGTCCTGGCCCGTTTTATGTCTGATGACAAGGAAAAACTTCTGAAGAAGATGACTCCTACTGACTTCGCACAAGACAAAGCTCTGTTATACCGGATCTGCTGCTTTAACTGGATACCAACAGAAAATCCGGGATATCCTAGACCAGACAGAGTCAAGATGGTGTTTAAGGTCTGCAATGGGATTCCGATTGACTTTGGGAAGCTGGTGTTTGATCAGGTTGTGTATCAGTCTCGACTAGGTAACAGAAAGTGGAATCTGGTGTTTCCAAGCCTCATCTATCAACTGCTGTTGCGAGAGGCGCCAATCGTTCAGGATGCTGAGATCTCCTTGACTCCGATTCTCACCTACAAACGTGTAGCGACTCTGGTCTCAGTCAAACAGGAAGCTACCCAGACTATCAAGAAGGAGCGAGGTCGATCTGAAGCTCCTACTGTGAGAGCCGCTGGATCAAAGACCATCACCCGGTCGTCCCATGATCACAGAACTCTGACAGCCGCGATTCAAGTCCTGCAAAGGGTTCTGACCACAGGTAAGTGTCCCTCTAACTTGTTACATGAGCCAGTGCATCTTATTTCTTTTTGACTTAACTGTGTACTCAAGCAGGGGGAAAAGCTGATGATGAGGTCGAGGACATTACTCCAAGCTGCTGAATGGATGTCGGGAGATGTATGGCCCTTCGGGGAGTAGTTAGTATGGGGGAGAGTTAGTTTTTGTGAGACTATAGATTCGGGTTGGTTTTTGGGAGCGAAACTATGTCTCTTATCTCCCTGTATTTCGTTTAGTTACTAACTCTTTTTATGGTCCTCTACGGATTGTTTAAAACTTGTTATGTTGGTGATTTTTGAACTATGCTTATTGTTTGGTTATGAGTTAGTTAAATGCATTTGCTCTGGTATGTTTGCGTATGACTAACCATTGTAGGCAGGAATGTTTGAGCACCAAGTCAAGTCAAAAAAGGGGAGATTGAAGATGCAACAAAAGTGGAGTAAGCAGCAACAAGAATGGAATGCGCTCGTCACAGAAGATAGAAGACGTGTGACACAAAGAAGAGTTCAAAGCCTTTCGTATATTTGTGTATATGTGAAAGGTAGAGTGAAAAAGGAAACTAAAGAATAGATTTAGGAAACTTAGGTTTCTGCTCTCTCTAGGTCTTTTATATAAAAGGAGCAAAGGTAGAAGTAAAGAGGTAACACTTCTGACCTAAATCAGCAAAACGGCACCATAAGCTTTGTACAAAAAGCAAGAGATAAGCGTTAAGGTTAGTGTTCGTTTTAGGATTAGATCGAGAATCACATGTTGTAGATTCTTGTATTAGCTTGAGATCAGTTGGTTCAATTTAGAGTTCTAGAGTTGTGTAAAACCAAACTAAGTGTAATCGAGTTAATATTAACTTATTGATTCAAATGAATAAAAACATTCGTCTTGGTGCTGTCCAAGACACAGAAATCTGTGTTGCCCTATTTTCTGTTCTTTTATTGGACCATGTCAAATATGACATATGCTCTTGTCGTATAAATACTTAAGCTCAAATGCTTCATAATTCACAAACAACACACACACATAAAATGAAGGTTTCCATGTTTCTCATCTTGAATACCATATTGGCTTTGTTCATTTCCTTTGCCAAAGCTTATGATCCAAGCCCACTCCAAGACTTTTGTGTCGCAATTGATGACCCCAAAAATGGTGGTGCGTATACAAAATCCTGTTTTTTTTTTAACTCTCTATTTTCTCCTTAAGTATGGTTAAATTTTATGTGATAAGTTGATAACATATGCTTTTTTTTTACATATGCTTTAGTAAAGTTGATAACATATGCTTTAAATTGAAATCTATCGTGCAGTTTTTGTGAATGGCAAATTCTGTAAGGATCCTAAGCAAGCCAAGGCAGAAGATTTCTTCTTCTCAGGTCTCAATAAGGCCGGAAACACTGATAATGATGTCAAATCCAACGTGACAACGGTCAATGTTGATCAGATTCCAGGGCTGAACACTATGGGAATATCCTTGGTTCGCATTGACTATGCACCATATGGCCAAAACCCACCTCACACGCACCCTCGTGCCACCGAAATTCTTGTCCTTCAAGAGGGAACATTGTATATCGGTTTTGTTTCTTCCAATCAAGATAACAATCATTTATTCGCTAAAGTATTGCAACCAGGCGATGTTTTTGTATTCCCCATAGGAATGATACATTTTCAGGTAAATATTGGGAAAACTCGTGCGGTGGCTTTTGCGGGACTGAGTAGTCAAAATGCTGGTGTTATCAGGATCGCAGATACTGTGTTTGGGTCGATGCCTCAGGTTAATCCAGATGTTCTGGCTATGGCGTTCCAGTTGGATGTCAATGTTGTCAAAGACCTTGAAGCCAAGTTTAAGAACTGAATTTAAGTCACTAAGAGTGTTTGTCTGTGCGACACTTAAGTAATGATGTAATACGGATTAAAAGTCTATGCTTAATAAAATAAAACTGGTGTATTCACCTAATTTGATATTTTTTATTAACTTTACTTTTCCTATGTTGATTTGGTCTTACATATTTTTAATGTCAGAGTAATTAAAGTTTCGTCGATATTCAAATTATAAGTCTTAAAGAGTTGTTACTTGTTAGAGGAAGAAAATGTACACACCTTAAGAAGGTTAGCAAAAACAAATTATCAAATAAAAACATTACATGTAAATAGCAGCAATTTTCTACGAAGATAAATCACATCTATATTAAAGCATACTTTATTAATTAAGAAAAAATTAACATTTACAAAAATTTGGTACATTTAGAAAGAAAAAAAAAACCAAAACTAATTAACAAATGAGCCATATATATTATTATTGAGTATAATTTCTTCTTTTTTTCCTTTTCTTTTTTTTAAACAATATATGACTATAAAAGCTTACACCAAGTATAAATTTAGATCACAAGCAAAATGAATCAGTTAATAAACCGAATCTTCCGCTTCGATTTAGTAGAAAGATGAGGTTGTAGACTCGATCTAGCCAGATTTTAAATGGAGTAAAATTTCCTATTTTGATTAGGACTGTAATTAGGATATATATGTTGACATATGCTTCACTTTGAATTGAAAGTTTAGCTTGAGGAGGAAAGACATGTTTTAGTAAAAGGTTATCTCTGGATAGAGAGTCTAGATTGAATGGCGAAACTCTTTGGAGTTTAGAGGGGTTGTCGCTTAAGGGGTTGTTGATTCTTGCATTCGAGTCTAACTCTGGATTGTTTCCGAGCTCAGCTCTTGTTGTACTGTAACAACTAATTCTGAATGGCTGGAAGGATCTAACCTAGATGTAGATTCGATCGATCTGAACTTGTATAACTCGTGTGTATCAATCTTTCTCAGTTTTCTTCGATCTGTTTCATGCGGCGAATATTTTGTTATATAGATTTTAGCAAAACGTCCAAAAAACATAAAAGGGCCAAAAGAAATTTTTCGTCCTGGAGCCTACAATTGAGCCGGCTCTGCTACAACACTTCATGCTTTTTTTTTTTTGGTTCTCTCTCTTTTTCTATGCCTTTTATTGACGATGATGGACATATTTTGTTTCGAGCTACAGCCTATTCGGCAAAAAACATTTGAACTTATTGGTTCAGTTTTACATAATTTTCTTTTGTCTAGTTGGATATTCACACTCCAACTTGAGAAAATGCTATTTAGGATAGTTTCGTATTTGGATTAGGACTCTAGCATTTATTATTACTAATAAATAGTTAATGCTATATGCCTCTAAAGATATACACATCATCATCATATAATATATAAAAGTTGATGGCATAGTGCATTGAGAGCGTTCACATGAAATTAAAAAACTCAATCTGATTGGTTCACATCAGCATATTCATTAAATAAAAAAATGTTAAGTATGATTAGGACGGAAAACTTGATTTAATTGGTCCATATCAGCTTTTAAATCAAACTAAAAATTATTAAGTATAATTAAAATATTAAAAGTTAATTTAACTAAGTATGTCCAACAAAAAAAGTAAATTCAATCTGATGGATCCAAATCAACATATTTATTAAATCAGAAATGTTAATATGGTTTAAAAAATTAAAAGTTAAATAAAAAAATTAACAATTAACAATACATGTATCAAAAAAAGTAACCATTATCAATTATCAATTTTAAAAAATCTACAACAACTCGATTTAACAATTAAAACAATGAAAACTGAATAAAAATATAACATAAGACTCTTGGAAGACATGATGGAGAAGAAAAAAGTGGTTTTCATGATCATTACAGCTTCTTAACAAAATTAAATGTGAATCAACATGAATCATGGATAATATATACAGTGGTACACAATATCAATAAGACTTTCAATAAAAAACTAAATATTTGAACACATAAACTTTCAAGAAAAAAAAACTATAGAAATTCTATGGAAAACAAAAAATAATACCAAAATCTTAGCAAGATTATATTTCTCTAAATCAAATGTATATGTACGTCAAAGTTAGATAATTCGATATGTGTCATTGTTATCATTTTACCTAATAGTTTTTTAAAATTTATAATTAAAAATAGGATAAATTACACATTATATATTAAATTCTCTTATATAAATGAAAATTTCTATAAATATATATAATTAATAATTTTAAAGATAGTAGCTAAAAAAATAAATCAAAATATTAATACAAACTCGCGCGTAGCGCGAGTTATATACCTAATATAATATATAAAAGTTGATGGCATAGTGCATTGAGGGTGCCACATGGGATTAAAAAACTCGATCTGATTGGTCCATACAGCATATTCATTAAATAAAAAAATGTTAAGTATGATTAAGACAGAAAAACTTGATTTAATTGGTTCACATTAGCTTTTAAATCAAACCAAAAATTATTAAGTATAATTAAAACAATAAAAGTTAATTTAACAAATTATGTCCAATAAAAAAAGTAAATTCAATCTGATTGATCCAAATCAATATATTTATTAAATCAGAAAATATTAATATGGTTAAAAAATTTTAATGTTAAATAAAAAAATTAACAATTAACAATACATGTATAAAAAAAGTAATCATTATCAATTATCAATTTAAAAAAATTTATAACAACTCGATTTAACAATTAAAACAATGAAAACTGAATAAAAATATAACATAAAACTTTTGGAAGACATGGTGGAGAAGGAAAAAATGGTTTTGCATGATCATTACAGTTTCCTAACAAAATTAAATGCGAATTAACATGAATCATGGATTATATATGCAGTGGTACACAACATCAATAAGACTTTTAATAAAAAAATACTAAATATTTGAACACATAAACCTTCAAGGAAAAAAGAACTATAGAAATTCTATGGAAAACAGAAAATAATACCAAAATCTTAGCAAAAAAATATTTCTCTAAATCAAATGTATATGTACGTCAAAGTTGGATAATTCGATCGGTGTCATTGTTATTATTTTACCTAATAGTTTTTAAAATTTTATAGATAAAAATAGAATAAATTACACTTTCTATATTAAATTCTCTTATATAAATGACAATTTCTCTAAAAATATTATATTTTAATAATTTTTAAAATAGTAGCTAAAAAAATTAAACCAAAATATTAATACAGACTCGCGCGTAGCGCGAGTTATATACCTAGTATAATATATAAAAGTTGATGTCATATTGCATTGAGGACATCCACATAGAACGAAGAAAATCGATATGATTGGTCCACATCAATATTTTTTATTAAACAAGAAAGTGTTAAGTATGACTAAAACATTAATTTTGTTTTAATCATTAAATAAAAAAAAATTCAGTAACAAATAGAATAAAATTTATGTTAAAAATCCAAAAAAAAGTTGCCTTAAAAATAAAATAGATTTTTTTTTTCAAAATAGTAAAACTAACAAAAAACCAATATCATAAAATTTCAAACTTATAATATAGATTAGAAAAAATCTAACTTCTAAAATAATTGACCAGAAAATATAAAACATTGATTTAGATTTATAGATGGAAAAATCAAAATAAAAAAAGCTTAAGTAACAAATAGAAAAGAAAATTATGTTAAAATAACCAAAATATAGCATCTTTAAAATCTAAAACATTAATTTTGTTTTATATATGGAAAAATTAAAATAAAAGAGGCTTAACTAACAAATTTAAATGAAAATTATGTAAAAAAAACCAAAAAAAAAATAGTATCCTTCAAAAAAAAATGGAAATATGTTTTCAAAAGAGATAAACAAACAAAAAACCAATATCATAAAATTTCAAACTTATATTATAGTTTAGGAAAATTCTAACTTCTAAACTAATTGAAAAGAAAATTATAAAACATTGATTTCGTTTTATAGATAGAAAAATCATAATAAAAAAGCTTAAGTAACAAATAGAAAATAAAATTGTGTTAAAATAACCAAAATATAGTATCTTTAAAATTTAAAACATTAATTTTGTTCTATAGATGGAAAAATTAAAATAAAAAGGCTTAACTAACAAATAGAAAAGAAAATTATGCAAAAACCCTAAAAATAGTATTCTTCAAAATAAAACGAAAATTTGTTTTCAAAAGAGATAAACAAACAAAAAAACCAATATCATAAAAGCTCAAACTTATAATGTAGGTTAGGAAAATTCTAACTTCTAAATTATTTGACAAGAAAAAAAAACATTAATTTCATTTTATAAATGGAAAAAGCTTAAGTAACAAATAGAAAAGAAAATTATATTAAAAAACCAAAATGTAGTATCCCTTGAAATTAAATAGAAATTAATGTTCCTCAATAATTAATGTTTATAACTTGGTTTATATACCAAATTGAAACTTTACTGTGTACATCAGATGAAAATCTATTGTGTATATAAAAAATTTACCGTGTACATTAAAAAAGTTAAACTAAATAAAAAATTAATATCTTAAAAACTAAAACTTATAGCATAGATTATAAAAATTTATAACTTATAATGCATTGCACGTATACAAATATATAATAATATATATATAATGTCTAGATGCTATTAGAAAAATAATCATCATCAACGAGGAGAACTTTCTTTGTCCAGTTAAGCTAATGATATCACCAATGGTGGAAGTCATAATAAAATAAATGTTCACTAGCAATTAAAAAGACAAGCATATTTTCCCAACAAGTCATATATATATATATATATATATATATATATATTCCAATCTCGAATATAATCTATGTTTACTTACCACACTTTTACATTTTCTAAACAGTGGGTCAATTGTTCGTGTTACTCTTCCGTCAATTTTTAAAGAAAAATAATGAAAGTGATGTTAAACCTGTCGTGCTCTTAGCCACAATTATGAACCCAAAAACAATTCAAGGTTTGTAATTTCAAACATATAATTACCATTATTATACTATTGTTTGTGAAAATATGATGAAT